AGTCATCAGGGCCATGTGATTTAAGGAGAGATTTAAGACTTCTGAAATACTAGGTTGCTTTAGTGCAGACGAAGATCTCCCCTCCCTGACCTTTTCTTATGCAATTTCAATGTGTATGCAAAAACTTCTTGAAATTACTAATCTTATGAAATTACTAATTAGTTGGTTCTCTAACACACCTGTTATCATTCAGAGCATGTGAGTTTTTGAGAGGTTCATCCGCCCTTTGACATAAGCATCTAAGATTCACAGAAGCTGTATGTGTGTGGCTGAGAAAACCCCTTTCACTCCCTTTCACCTTGGAGTTTCCATGTATGCAAAACATTTTTGAGTACTGCGGCACTGCTAAATGGAAACATTTCACTTTAAAGCAAAGAATGGAAAATGGTAAGCATAAACCACGGAATCTGACCATTGCAGGGGCACTGGTAGGTAAAGCCACCTCCAGTTAACATGATGTCAATGACAGTGATTTCTGACATTATGAGCAAACTCTCAGGTTTTTGAAATGCCGCTGACCAAGTGCCCACCAATATGACAAACCTCCAAGGTCACGTTGGAAATGACAGAATGTTGTCAATAGCAGAATCCCCACTCTTTTTTTATAAATAATCCTAATTCTTCTTGTTGTCCTTTGCCTCTCTTTTTTTCTTATGCAGAGTCTGATTTTCAGGAAACAGAGAATGCTGGGGTCATATTCCTGTGAAAAACATTCATCAAATTTAAGCTGTCAAGTCAGCAGGTCATAGGTAAAATACAGAGGAAGTTAATGTTCCTCTGCTTGGGGTGAGGAAGGAAAGCTCATTTTCTCATGTGATTGATATCTGAGGGTTTGTTTGTTTGAGAGATTTTATCCATTTATTTATGAGAGAAACTTGTAAGAAGAAATTATCCAATATGGTCTTTTGCATATAGGAAATGAGGCAACCTATCACTTGCAATGACAAGGCCTTCTCCTTCTTTTCTGTGCTTTTGATATATTTTTCCGCAAGTTCTTGTCAGCAAATCTCAAAAATCTCCTAAGCAGCCAAACGTTCATTTGTGGACTATATCATGATTATACACAACTGTGTCAATTTTTGGAGGCAGGGAAATCTAAGTACAAAAAGAAGATCAGTAGGGTAGTAATGAGTAATGAAACAACCATGAAATTGCTCCCAATTTAAGAGTTTCTTGATTTAGGGTCCCTGTGGTACCTTACATTCTCAATTCATTGGGCATATTTAATGCTAATATCAGGGGAAAAGAAACCAGAATTCGGGTTCGCAAGCTCCACAATCACAGTCCACATTATTACTAGTAGTATTATTATTACTGCTGTTTCCTTTACTTGCCAGAGTCGATCCATTCTTGTTTCTAAGGAAAGACCACTAGAACAGCGGGCTTTAGCCTATGACTTTGGATAATGTGATGTCCTCAATGTTCAGGCTTAAAAGAAAACACCAATGCTGTGGTGCAGAGAAGACATAGTTGTCTGCCCTCTGTTACCACTTGGTCATGAATTATTGATGTGGGACATGGCATAGCTCATGGTATTGGGGGTAGACATATGTCCAGTATCCTTACTAATAATGCTTGTGTTTGAGTTCAGATTTACAAACAAGAAAGAAATCTGTTCATGCAAACCAGAATCCCTATGCAAGTATATGCGTAACCCACATTTGTAGAGTATTAAATATGAAGAATTCCATACATAAAGCTTATAATGGAATATACTTCTGGATACTCAATGCCCTGTTTCCTAAACAAAGTGTTTGATTCTGGGCAGATTTTTATTGGCCAAACACAAAATGGCACTTTAAGTGAACATAGTAACAAATGTGGTCATGAAAACAAAAAGGATTTTCAAATGGAAAATGCTCTTTTTTTTGTAAACTCGCTGTCTTGTGTTCCAAATTAAGGATTTTCAGTCAATGCACTGAAAAGTCTTAAACATTTCTTGGCCAAAATTAATATAAAATCTAAAATAGTTTCAAAGGATACTATTCTACCTTTTACTTTACTTCCTAGTCACTGTAAGATAGTCTTTTAAGAGACCTAAAATCCTCCAGTTTTATACCACATCACATGAAGTGGCACTGTAGCCCTTCTTTGCAGTGCCCTGCCAATGTAATTCAGGTTTCACGGGTAATTAATTCTCCATGCCAACGAGTCCTTGAACTGCCTGTTATAATACTAGCAGCATAGAGCCAACTAAAGATCTGAGTTTGCAGATTTTATCCCTTGAAAGGTGAGTACAAACTACGAATTTGTGCTCCTGTAAAAAAAAGGAAAAAAAAAAAAAACCCACCACAAAAGAAAGAATGACTGAAAGAAAAACTTACATCCAGATGAGGAAAATTGATTCTTTGGATTTCTCTGGTTTCATTTATTTACTGACTATGTTTCAGTTGTCATAGGTATGTTCTATAGGAAAAATATAATTTTAATTTCCCAAATAACATATATAGAAGTTATGATCAGCACTTGCTTACTTGTCTAGAGAAAAACATTTTATAATACCATCTTGATTTCTGAACACTGCACAAAGAAGTTTGTTTGTTTCCCTATGTGAATTTGACAATATCCCTTTTAAAATTTCTTCTGTTTTCATCTGTTTCTCAAGACAAATTACTGTGTCTGTAGGGGCACTTGCAGACTACCAGCCAGTGTCCAGCACAAACATTGCAGCCTTGTCTTCCCTATTAAACCTGTATTTTGACAGTGTTCCTTACTTCATTTCCTTCTAGGACTGGGGAAAAGGTTGTAAGTGGACAAGTTGTCAAAGATCACCTTTTAATAAAGATTTGTTGTATGCAAAACTGAAATAGTTATAAGCAACAAAAGGGGGCATTACTGTGCTCTTGCGCAAGAATTATTCAACGAAACTTGGATCATTAATTTTATACATGTAGATCAGTCCTGATATTTTTCTTTATCCATCAAAGGGAAAAAAATTAGAGTTAGAAAAGAAACGCTTCATGCTCTTTTTCCTAGAAAATAATTGTCTAATGTGTCTCTAACTTGCTAAAAGCAAAAGGTTCTTTTTTAAACTAACTAATATAACCCAAAGAGGGTGAAATGAAGAATACTTGTTAATGTTCATTTGGATTAGTGTAAATTTTATTAGCTCTGAGGTGTAATTGTCAGGAACTTGTAGTTTCGTACTGTGGGGGATTATTCAAACACATTGGTGCCAATGTTTGCTCAGTGCAGTCAGGATGACTGCGTTTTCTGGGTCAACATTGTCTGAAAAAGTTTGCTGTACGGTACAACTGAGAGAAGAAACTAAACACTGACTCTCACTTCACATAGCCTTTTCATGCTTTGTGAGGTGAGTCAAAGTTTTGCTATTTAAAGATCAGACGTTTAGGGAAATTGTATTTCTGCTTTTGCACCAAGAGCGTGTGGTGTCTGGTGTCTGTCAGAAGGCTGACTTCTCCAGTAACCCCATTCTTCGGGGCTTTTTTCAGCTTTTATGTGACTTAGAACAAATACATGGAAATTGAAGTATTTTTAAAAGTTGGTCCAGGCTAATTACAGACTTCCATTCTCCTTATCTGAATGTTGTGTAATCACCAAAATGGTGTTTAATGCTAAATGCCGATCCCCGGTGTTGGCTTCACAGTGTTCTAACCTTAGCTGGAGTCTGGACTGCTTGTTGTTGCAGAGACAATGAAAGACAGGATTCCTCTGCAACAGACACTTGGATTTTCCTTTTAAAGATGTTCACACTCTTCTGGTGTAATTACAGCCTGCCAGAGTGAGGAGCATGAAACTGTTTATCTTGCGAAGCTTAAAATAAAAGGTGTATGTGAAAACAAGAACACGATCCTTTTTCTAGCAGTCCAGCACCAAGTCCCATCCCCTTCCTCTCCTGAGGCTTCTTCCCCTGAAATTTAGAGCACCTTCTTATTAATGCATTTTTAGGTGAGTGGTGGGTTTCTTTTTGTCTTCTGTGTTGCTGCCATTAAATTATTCCTGTTTGTTAATCCGTTTTAAGTTAGCGTTGCATGTCAGCATATGAAGTCTCAGGTGTGGGTGCACAGATCTCATGAATTATGCTCCAGTCTAATTATATAATGTGCACCCCAGTTCCCATGCAGGCTTCCCCTTGCACAGACCTCTTGAATCTTCTTGGTCTTGAGTGGTTTTGGACGGGGTTTTTTATTGACCCACGTCACCTTGCTTTATCCACAGCCCCAAAATAAAAAGAGAAGGAATGTATGTGGCAGGTCAGTACCCTGGAGGGAGGAGGCATGACTCCACGGTTCCTTTCCCACCCCCTTCCTTTTTGCCCCCAGATATCCCCTCCCTTCCCTTGTGTAAGAGGACGGTTTGCAGAGCTTTAGTCAGTAATGTCAAAAATGTTAAAGTTTAAGTGGCTACCCATTCCTCCCCAGGCCAGTCATTTTCAGTCACAGGTTTAAATCTGCTGCAGCAAAGCCAAGCCTCTGTGCTTGCATCAGGTCTTACAAAAGCAAGGCTGTTTGACTGACAGGCACGGAGAGGGGGTTCTGATAACATACTGAGCCGAGCCTGGAAGCAGAGGATCGAGGACAAGGCTGTGCCAGAGGTACTGTGCATTATGGATGAGGCACTCAGGTCGGTCGTTGATTGATGGAGGGACAGTTACGCTCTTTCACAATGCTGGGTAAGATCATCTGGACTGTCACTTAATATGAGCTTTCTTGTCGGTGGGAAGATGACTTTTCACGTAGCGATCCAATGCAGATTGCGAATGACAGCCATGCTCTCCCCTCTGCTTTGTAAGGGTTTAGTCGCTCGTGCAGGTGAGTTAACCTAAAATAGCTTTATCGCTTGCCAGGTGCCAGATGCTGGAATTAACTCTTATTCTCAGAATCTCCGGCTGACTATAACTGTTGGGAAAGCACCTGTTTGGTGACATAACATATATGTCCTTTATCTCTAGCAGCCAAGGTGCCATCTAACTGCTGCATAGGTATGGTATTAAATTAAGGAGGTGAGCTCAGGGGAATGCAAATTTTTTCTACTCTTTCAGGACAGAGAAAGAAGCTGTAACAAACAGTTCTGGAGACTTTGAAGCACAGCCACAGTGCTGAGGTCTTTGACTGACAAGTCTTCTGCTTTCTTCTTCTTACAGGGCTCCTCCTACAGATGTTCTGAACACGTCTGCATCCCAGCAATTTTTTACTGCGCCCAGGTACTGAATGTAAGGAACAAGCTGCATAAAAAGAAGCGTGGGGTGTAGGAGAAGGAGCACTGTGAGGAGTATACCAGTAGTCATGCCTATACAAAATGCAGGCAGTGGCGTGACTTCAAGCAAAGATTATTTGAGAAAGCATAGTTGCTGAATGACCGAGTTTATTCTTAGAAAATGACAGAATAAGATTCTTATTCAACAATATGGCTTATAATCATCTTAAATGGTATGTGTCAGGCTTGACTTCCTAAGTGTCATCCTTTCACTGTGTGACTGGGAGTTTATTTATTGCTTGAACGGAATTTCTTTTCCTCCCTACAGGTCTTGAAAACTAGAGCTCAGGCACTTCTGGATCAGTCTTTTCATCGAAATACTGGAACTACTATGAAGTCGTCTTGGTTTGCACTCATCCTGGCAGTGCTCAGTACTGAATTGCTAACAATTCCCTGTTCCACCATCAAGTCCCCGAGGTTCAGAGGACGCGTGCAGCAGGAGCGAAAAAACATCAGACCAAATATCATCCTTGTACTCACAGATGATCAAGATGTGGAGCTAGGTGAGAAATAATTGTTATTTGCTACTTCATTTCATCACGTGTCTTTCGGTAATTTCTGCCAAGCAGAAAGCATTTTAAATTCAGAGAAGGTACTGGTCCTGGAACAACATCAGAATGTGAGACAAGTTTGGAAAATGACTTAACAAATATTATATAATCGCATTCTTCACACTTCATTACAAACTTTAGGAACCCTATGCTTATCAAAATCTGCCATGGAAGGCTTTAATCACCTTTAAATAATTATTTAATAATGCATGCAAAGACATAGGGGTAAAAAACTTGTGTCAAAAGCCCTTCTTTATGACTTTCCGTAGCATTTAAAGATTTGAGCCTTATGAGGTTAACCTTCCCCTTAGGGATGTATAGGTGAGTATCTATATTCTCCACATATTTGTCACATGTATGTATGTCACCTGACATGGTTATGCACAGACAAACTGGTCTGGTTCTAGAATATAAGTTTAGTATTTCTATGAATTATTAAAGTGTTATGACTATGCTATATGGATAAACATAGAATTGTTTTGCTTTTACAAGTTTACTAAATATCTGAGCATGACCTGGACATAGCAGCCAGGAGTGATTTTCACATATTTTTCTTTGGGTAGAAAAAGTTAAAACACTTGGATGATATTCCAGGAGGCATTTGAATGTTTTCCATTAAGTAAGTTAGAAAGATATAAATGGTACTTATGCATATAACTGATTTTTTGGTTCACTGCCTGAAGTGAAAAATCAAGGAGGGAAACCCCCAAGCAAATATTTTAGTTTTGGGGGTGGGAGGCAAGATCAAAAAGGTGAAAAAACGGCAAATCAATTTGAAATTAAATCTTGCATTCTTAGTGCTTTTAATGAAAGACATGCTTTTAATAAAAGTCAAAACGTCATATGACACTGAAAAATCAAAATGCTTGATTCCAGAAAACTTGTAACAAAATAGTTCATTTGTTCTGAAATCACATACTTTCAGCCAGAAAGTTGTAGACATAAAGTGGTCTAGATCTAAAAGCAGTTCTTTAGTTGCTAGCATTTTTTTGTATTTGTCATGATGCAATAGTAATTTACACAGTCCTTCAGGGTTGTGAGAACATAATTAATAAACTATATTTCATGACTGAGTGTTAGTGCTTTTATGCAGCAGTGCTCCAAGACCAGACCTTTAGATCTGAGCACATCTTATCTTTTTTATTTCTCACTCTTTCAAATGTCTGCTCTGTTTAGCCGTGCTGCATAATGAATGGCTGTTCCTGGGTCTGGTTTTGGGCTAAAATACAGCTATTACAATAGGAATGCATTTCTTCTTGATAGAGTCGTTCTGAAAATTTTGTTAAAAGGGTCAAGTCATGCCTTCCTTTTTGTGGTCCGAAAGAGCCTACTTTCTTCAGGGCACTGGAGAAGGTAGGTCAGCGGACACACATCTCTGAACAACATTACTGACTCTCTGCCTTCAATCTTGCAAGAGGGTTTGCAAGTGGTGAAAGAGCAGGAAGGATGTGGCAAGCCACTTTTTGCTCATATTGTGGAGCTCCTCTCTTTGAAAGCTGCTCTGGATGTTTGCAGGGCACTCTGGCTCCTATTAGCAAGCAGTTGAGCAATAGCCTGGATGTGTATGCATTCCCTCTGCACTGAATGAAGACACAGCTTTCCCCTTTCATAGATCATTTCACAGGAAACAGGATTCAGCCCCAAGATTTACTGTACTGCGTTATTTGCACTTCTACTAATAAATCATTTGCCTTATCTGAAAAGTAAAGCCACACTCTTTTCCATGTGTGAATTATCCCCTAGCCCTTTGGTGATTCCTGAGGAAAATATTAAGTTTCCCAAAGGTCAGTAGGAAGTAACACTTTCTGCCACAAACAGGAAAAAAAAAATATGGACATTGCCATCCAAAAATCACAAAGCTGAAAGTCTCTCAATATGGATTATTTGTTACTGTATTCCCAGCACGAACATTTCTAAAAGCTCTTCTAAATGAATGCTTGAGCATAAAAGCGTATAAGGTACGTTACAGACTTCCATCAGGAAGAATTTGTCTCCAGAGCATGTACAAACATCGAACCAAAACATTCAGCTGCCTGCGTGCAAATGATATACAGGGGAGTTGTCCAGAGTAAAATTTGCAAGAGGCAGGGATCTTGTATTTAGTTAGTGCTCAAAGCATAGCAGTATGCACATCTTCCTGTTGATCTGCACCATCCCTCTGAATTTTGCATTCTGAATGCAAAAAAGCTCAGCAGAGCTGCTGTCTCATTCAACTTATCAGATAAAACCCACAAATTGCTCCACAACTACAGTCAGTTCCTATCTATGTTGGGAGGAATGCGGCACAGAGGAAGGACATTACTGATCAGTAGGTGGATGGCAGCTTAAGAGGTACAAAGCAGCCTGGCCCGCAGCTCTTGAAGAAACTCAGCAAATAACTTGGGCCCAGAAGCTGGGATTTGACTGGTTAAATTATGTCTCTGTGCCCTTTCTTACCCTCACCAAGGTCCTAAGAGCAGAGAAATAACTGCCCAACAGGGAGGCAAATGGGCATCTTGCTCCACGCAAAGCACCAGCTCCCAGAACTTGCACAGAACTACTGCCCCCATGCCGACAACGTACTGCTCCCTGCCCGACAGTGGCCCCAGCTCCCACTGAGGTCAGGTCTGTACCCTATTCCGGGTACAGGTATTTCCAACTTTTTGCTCACCCATCTCTTCCCTTGTCATCCAGGTTCTCTATCACTTGCACACATCAGCACCTCAAACCATGACCCACCCTAATCATTCTGATAATTCTCACTGTGAATAATATCTTGCATAATGTCAGAAAGGAGTCAAAACTAATGAACACATCGGTAGTTCCAATGTTTATAACCCAGAGCCATTTGAGTTGTCAAAAAAGTGAGAAAAGGTAAAAAAAAACCAACAAAACCAAGAGGAAAAATCCATCTGAGGCAATTATGTTTTTCTGTACCCTTGTTTACAGCCTAATGCACCCAGTGAAATCCATATAAACATCCACAGAGTACTGTGGTGAGTGACAAGATCACAGAAATCACTGGATACATCCTATCAGGCATAATTGGCTGGTTTGCTTTCCATCTTCACTAAAACTTTCAAAGCACTAAAAAACACAAACTGAAAAAATGGGGATATGTTCTGGGGTCTGAAAAAGTGCATCACCTTCCTGGGGCCTTACGTACAACCCCAATAAAGCCAAGGTGGCTTTAGCCGTCCCTTTGTAGAGATGCCCACCTGTGGGACACCTGGATGAAAATCCATAGCAACTTCAAGGCTTGCTATGAAACCCTGGTTACCAAACATATTCCTTGATGTATGAGAACAGACTGAGAGGTGACACTGAATTTCTTGCCTGACAAAACTTGCCAACTTCTTTGTCCAAAGTGGCTGTTCCCGGTTATCTGGTTCCCCTCGGGTGCTCCCCAATTGGTCATGTAGAGCGCAAGTGTCCTGCTGTCAGACAGCTCCTGCGTACATGTGCCCTGAAGACTGTGGGCCAGATGGTAAAGAGCACAGGCTGTGAGGAGAGCTGCAGACAGCAGAGGATTATAACTTATATCAGCAAGTTTTATCTCCTACTTATGTTTTGTTTTCCAAATGAGGAAGTCTCACCTGCTTTGAAGTGCCTATTCCAGAATTTCCAGAGGGGCTAAATCTATTATCAGTGTCAGTAAGTGCATACCTGGAGGAAAAACTTACCCATAAACAGCAGGTTTGCAAAAGCAGAGGGCTGACCAAGCAGAGGAATGAGGAAGCGCTCTAACAGCTACTCATTTATAATGCATAGAGGCATGAGAGTGCACATCAGCTCTGCTGCTGTTACCTGAAAAATGCACTTTGCATCTGAAGACCTACAAGCACTTCAGAGCTCAGCTCTCAGTAATAAACTGTGACATTTCAAAAATGGAAGAGCTATGGCAGAACAAACCAAACCAAACAAAAACTAAAAAGAAAAAGCCAGCCTGGGGTCCAAGATAAAGAGTGAGCAAGATGTCTCATTTGCCTTCTACTCAACAAGTTAGTGAAATGCTCCCACTCATACAAATGGAGACCTGTTGTGCTCAGGGACCTCTCAGTTACCCTCCTACTTCTCTGTATCTCTAAACACATGGGGTTTGCCCGCACCGAGTTCAGGAAAGCATTACTGTAGACACTCTGCATTTAGAAAAGAGGGGCTGTGAAAGAGGAAGAGTCCAAAATGATGGTGACTTATATGCAGGATATTGAATGCATCCTTAAAGACACAGGCATTGGCACGGCCCCAGGAAATGCTGAAGAGCTCTTCCTTTTTTTAATCAAGGAATTTTGGTGCAAAAGGTTTCATAGTCAGCATTGGCTCCTTAGCCCTCCAAAAGCCAAAGCATGCTTAACTTTAAGTAGTAAAATCTTTTGTAAGATTTTACTTCTTACACCTAAAGTTGAGCCTCCCTGGAAGTTTTGTGGTTTTACAGACCTATCTTTCACGTTTAAAAAAAAAAAAAAAATTAAAATCAATATTCAACTAACCCAAACAAAACCACCAAGAAAAACTCGTATTGATTCAGTGAAATTAATGAATTTAAATTTGAGCCCACAGCTTAAAATTACTGGGCAAAACAAATTGTAAAAACAAAGGGAAAAAAAGTAGAATTCCAGAAACCTCCTTTTGCCATCAAAATCATACAAGTATTACAATTCACAGACTTATTTCCTGGACACATCCTGCCATCTCTGCGGTTCACCCTCACCCTTCAATCTGCTCTGTTGGATAACAGAAAGAGCAAAGTTTGACAGCTGTCAGCAAATACTGACAGACCCGATCAGGAGCTGCTCGGTCTTTCTGCAGTCTGAAAGCTGCAAGCCCTGCCTGTCTCACCTTGTTGATCATGAAGATGTTTTAAAGCATGCAGAAAATGCCTTTGTTCTTTAAACAGGATGAATACAGTTTCTTGAGAAAGGTGCTGTATTTGGGCAATATTTTTTGCATACAGACTCACCCCCAAAAGCTCATTTTAAACATACTGCTTTAGTACTGGAGTCAGAAATGCTGATCCTGTGTCCAGAGAAACTTTCCTCTAGCAAAATTGTTAGAAAATTGTCTCTCTCTTCTCTGATTATCTGGTAGAACAGGAAGAATTGTAACAGATTATTGGTAATCTCAGAATTTTACTGTCACACTGATGAATGATGCGGTCTTTAACACACTGTTTTCCTACAGCAATGTTTGAAGAACTATTGATCTATAAATTGGATACAGCTCTAAAGCTTTAAAATTGTATTTCTGGTTTAGTCTGCATTTTAATTTTGTTTTGAAGCTTGAGAAAAATATATTTCTGGAATCTTGAAAAATATTTTGGTGGTATAATGAAAATCTTTTCTTCTAAAATCACCTAAGCTATGAAGTAGTACAGCCTGATGTCCAAAGGCAAGCTAATCACTGATACTTTACTTTTAATGGCATAGTAGCAGCTAATATATTCTAACTTCTTTTTGCAGCACAGTGATGATCAGTACATCTTATTGCAGGGTCCTTACAGGTGATGAATAAAACCAGAAGGATTATGGAGAATGGAGGGGCCTCTTTTATCAATGCATTTGTAACCACCCCGATGTGCTGCCCATCGCGTTCCTCCATGCTGACTGGGAAGTATGTGCACAACCACAACATATACACCAACAATGAAAACTGCTCTTCTCCCTCATGGCAGGCTACTCACGAGCCACGTACCTTCGCTGTGTATCTCAACAACACTGGGTACAGAACAGGTAAGAGACAAATCAACAGTAGCTCCTTGATTAATGTGAAGATGACAGCTATTCAGCAGTGCATCTCGAATCACAGCCTAAAATGAATTCTGTGACTATTCCCCCAAATCAGGTTTACAGAGCAGAGGTTTAGTGGTGTGGAGAGGGAGGGTAGTATTGCCTGCTAGTCCAGATCTGCGGCTAACAGCCACGTAAAGAAACTCACTTGTAATGGAGCGGCATATTTTCACGCTTGGCGGTCCCAGGTGGGAAATAAGCTCTTGGGCAGTTACACCTAGTGGAAAAGAGGTGCATTTTAGTGGCATCGTGGGTCTGAACTGGCAGTTCCAGACGTGATTATGGTCAGTATTATGGCTTGCTTGTGGACAGCTGCTAACAGTTATGGAAGAAGATTTCAGGGCCAGGCTGCAGACTGATGCCAAAGACCTCACAGGAGCAAAGTGCCTGTCATGGGAGTGAAACAAGGTGAATGGTATAATTTAAACTTTGCCATGGGGCGATATTTCATTTGCATTTTCTGAAAAGGTATAGAAACATGCCTTTAAGAAGGATTGTTCTGCTGTGCACCAATAGGATTTGATAGTTTTCTTGTAAATTCCTGGTGGTTTTCCGTAGTCAGGAGATCCCTTTCCTGTCTACAAAGAACTCTTCTTATTCCTCTCGTCTGCACTTCAGCCTGATGTAAAACCTGATTCATTTCTGCATCACCTATCCCCTAAGAGTCAATCTGTAGACACGTTAGGCTCCAGCCTGACTTCCCTTTCCTAAGGTACAGGAGTTGTGCAAGGTCATCAGGGTGCAATTTGTCCAGAAGTGTCATTCATCTACAAAGACTCCCCTTTTACAGGACCAACGAGGCACAGATCTCAGTGCCAACTGCGTTCCTTACAATGTAATGGGCAGCAAAGAAATTTGCTTCTGTCAGAGGCTTAGGCACAAGAATGAATGGCTTTCAAAATGCAGAGCAGTCAAATGTCTCCATGCTGTCTGCTTGTTCTAATTCTTTTAATGCTGCGATATCCAGTGCCTTAAATTTGTCGGCCTGTTTGCCATCTTCACACAGACAGCTCTCTCTTTTTTTCTTCTGTCTCTCTGTATCTGTAGTGGTGGTGAACTTCTGCATCCTGTTTAAAAAGTAAAAACAGTCAAATATTTAACATCTTTGAACCCGGTGTTGGCTCTGACACATGTGCTGAATAGTACTTCAGTCTCTATGAAGCTGGTTTCAGTGGTTCCCATCTGATTACAGCACTGCTAAACCTGAGTAAGGGCCAGCATCAGGGTTCTGCAGGAGACAAAGAGGGAGAAGAAAATTGGCGATCACTGCTAGAAAAGGTGTTGAATTTGCCCTAAAATAAGCATTGACTCATGGCTTGTATCTCAAAAATCTTTTCTGCTTGGTTAACGGCTGCTTCATGTGGGACCTAGTTTTCCTGTTTCTAAAAAATGTAGTATCTTACTGATTTGTAATCTACTACTTGCACAACTGAATGCCTCATGCGTAAATTGGACAGCCCTGTCGCTAGCCCTCTCTGCCCTTCTTGTGGTAAACACTCTGCTTTGGTATACCTTCTGCACTGCCGTGTATTATGAAGGCATGTGGAGATGTCTACTAAATGCAGACTTGGCCCTATTAAATGGAAAAGAAAAAAGGGTCAAAAGAAAAGGAAAAGGGAAAAAAATCCCTTTCCAACGGCAGGCAGAGAGAACGCCAGTCTTAAACTATCAGGGTTGAGATTTAACAAAGGACAGGCAGGAGAAAAAGGAAATGGAAACAAATGAAGATACTTTTATGAAACTCTGATTTTGACCAAGGTATATTGTTTGAACCTATAATAATATGGTCTTAAAGAATTTTTTCCATTCACTCCTTGTAAGACGAGCCTACCTTCTAATTACTCCACAATTATTTTTTGAAGTAGCACCTTAATTAACTGTAGAGCTTATAATACATTTTTCAAGGAGAGTGTTGCCTCATTAAAAAGTCATCAAAAGTCCGCTAACCAACTCATAATCTAAACTTCACAGCTGGAGAGTTCAGTAAAATTGTAATGACTGAAGAATATCTGGGTGTCAAGAGTAATTGGGAGTAGAAAAGAGGGAAGTGAGGGGAGAGAGTGGTTATGTGCCACATAGGCTAGTTGTGACTCTGTGCTGATGTTGCAGACACTATGGGTATTTACCCTGTGCATTTTGAGAGGAAATCAGTATCCTCCTCAATGGGAAACTGAGGCAGAAAAAGAGGAGTGACCCAAGGCCACCCACAGTTTGGTGGAAACACTGATAAGGGACTAGTCCTGAGAACCCCAGTCCAGATGACACAATATGCAATACCTCCAACCTGGATCTCTGCTCAAAACATGGAGGATTTACCTCTCATTTTTTGCATAAGGTCAAATTATTATATAAACCCGTTGAAATAAGGGGATGGGAGCGTGTCTATATGATGTCTTTACTTCTGTTTACTCCAAGTAGTTTCCAACATCTATAAAGCATCTGCTGTCTAAACCTGCCGCAGCCGTAACTGAACCCCTCTATACTGCAATTGATCACGTGTGGGCAGACTGCTTGTGAGGGGAGTCCTGCCGAAGCCACGAGGACTCCACACAAGCACAGCAGGCCATTTAAATGGAGCTCTGAAATGTGCTCTGATAATCTGCAGGCATAATTAGAGCCCACTGGAAAAAACTAGAAAAAAGAAATCCAGAATGTTTTTTTCTTTCCTTTTTCTGTTTTACTCTTCTACTCCTGTTCTACTCTGATGTGACATAATGGAAATGTTGCATTTCATGGAAACACACTTTTTTGAAGCAGGAACTGTGCTGGGTGCTAGCAGGGCAGACAATATTCAGGAATTTCACTGCCAAAACCAAAAATCACTTTGCTTCTAGTTATCATTTTAAAAAAAATCCCAAAACAATTCAGGATGCTGCACTGTTTACTCTTT